GTGTATAAGAGACAGGTCCTGTCCCCTATGCCACCCCAGCTGCTGTCCCCGTCCCTACACAGTGCCTGGCTCCCCAGGCTGCCCAGGGACAATGGAGGTGCTTGGGGTTGCCAAAACCCATCCTGTGCCTCCCCGCCACTGACGCTGCCATGTCCCCCAGGTAGGAGATGCGGAGCCCGAGCTGGGCGCTGCCGACAGCTGGATCGGGGTGGTGCCTGTGGGTGAGGAGCCAGCCGAGGCCCCCCGGGGCCCCAGGGAGGAATCCTTCACCGCCGCCGTCGTCAGCAAGGTGACTTCCTGCTTGGCCCACAGCGTTCACTGGCCACAAGCCCACAGGGCACCTCCTGGGGTGTCTCCTTGCCAGATGTGGGGGGTCCTGGCCTGTGGTTGGTGGCAAGGGGGTCCCTGACAGTCCCTCTTGGGTGCTGCCCGCTCCATGCAATGGGACAGGAGCTGAACGAGGGCACGGCCCAGCTGCCCGCCCTCCTGCCTGTCCTGCCCTTTGAGCCTGTGACCTCTGCCTCCGCAGATGAAGCGAGCCCTGGTACTGGGGGCGTCAGCCCTGCTCATCCTGGCGCTGAACCAGAACGCCATCCGGGAGGTAGGAGAGTCCCGGCAGCGGGTCCCCGAGCCTGTCTCGTGCCCTGCTGACAGCTGTTGCTTTTCTCTCTGGTGCAGCTGGATGTTTCCCAGCTTCTTGCCAAGCCTGTGATTGTGATCCAGTCCTCGGACAACGTCACCAAACTTCTGGGAGCACTGCTGCGGTATGGGCTGGGGCAGTGGGAGAGGCTGGGCGAGAGCTGTAGCTCTGGGCCGGGTCCTGTGACAGCCAGGAGCTGCCCAGGGCAGGTCTGTCCCACAGCACATCGGGGCTGGTGTCAAGGTTGTGCTATGCAGGACTGAGACACGTGTTTCCAGGGAAAGTTTGAGTCACATTCAGCCCTTCCTCAGGGCCTGAGCCCTTCCGTGGGTCCCCACACAGTGGTAGGGGCTGACAGTGGCCTCGACCAAGATCTTTAGGGCTTAGTACAAATTAGCCAGACGGGCTGAGCATCAGCATGACACCGGCATCCCGACGCCTGCAGTGTTAGGACTCTCTTGGTCCTTACACGTGGTAAATCAGTGTCACTGCTGCGGTGCCACAGGTGGGGAAATTTGAGAAGGACTCGGGTTGCTCAGAGGGCTGGGCACAGCTGGGAAGGGGGAGTCTCGCTGTCACGCCCCTGTGTGTTCTGCTGTCCTCAGCGGCCACCCTTGCCCGTGGCTCAGTGGGGCTGTCTGTCCCTACAGGGAAGGGGGTGCTCCTTGGCACTGGGGTGCTGCTGGCCAGATCTTTCTGTGCCCACGGGATCAACACTTTTCTCATCTTTTGCTCACAGGGGGCTCCGGGCTACAGCAAAGATCACGTACCAGGCGGTGCTGCTGGAAAACCTGGTAAGTAGGTCCACCGCCACCTCTTCCTCCTCCTCCTTTCTCATGGTAAGAGGGCAGGGGCATGGCTGTGCCTGTCCGGTGGGGAAGCTGAGCTGCAGGGAGCAGGAGCCAGATCCACGAAGGCTGTTGGAGCTGCTGCTGCCTCAGTTTCCCCAGAGACTCGCTCTCTGGGAGTGGGGCAGCTGGCAGCCGCCAGCAGTTCCTCCTCCCCTCGGGCACGTGTGATCCACCCAGCGCGCCGGGTCCCCCCCGGCCTCAGGCAGCGCCGTGAGCCATCGCGGCCACCAGCAATGCCGTTTCCTGCCTTGCAGGGAGTGACCCTCACCCTGTGGTCAACCTGCGGCCTCTCCCGAGGGGGCCTCTATGGGGAGTGGCAGGGGGTCATCTGCACAGGGGAGAACAGCTCACAGGTCCAGGTACGTGCACCAGCTCCTCACGTAGCCGCAGTTGGCGTGGGGGCAGCGGCGATGGTGGGGCTGGGAGCAGAACGGGGGTCTCTGGTTGGCCCCCCTGCCGTGGTTCCTGGCTGCCCACCAGCACTGTTCCTGCAGAAGTACCTCCAGCAGCTGTGGAACACCATCCTGCTGATTGCCCTGCTTCTCTGCACCGGGGTGATTGTGCAGGCCCAGCGGCAGTCGTGGCAAGACCTGTCAGAGCAGGATGCTGAGGTGGGAACATCTCCGCTCTGCTTCTTGCTGGGGAGGCCAGCAGCCGGGCTCTGACCCTCTGCTCTGCCTTCACAGCTGGACCTGAAGCAGCACATTCGGCGGCGTCTGTCAGCATTGAAAACCCGGCGGTACCATCCTGGCAAACCGCTCCGGAGCCGGGTCTGCGAGATCGATAGCTGTGCTGTCTGCTTGGACCAGTTTCACAAGAGCCAGGTAGGGACTGGGGGGAACTGGTGCTGCGCTGGGAGGCCTGGAGCCTGTCCTGGCCACCATCTGGGGCCCCCTGTGCTCTTGCCATCCCTTTTGCTGCCCGGGGTGAGCCTCCCCGTGCTTGCTGGGGCCGGGGTGTCCCTGCACCATGGTCAAGTCCTCGCCCGGTTCTGCTTCTGTCTGCCCCTGCTTCTCTCCGTGCAGTGGCTGCGGGTGCTGCCCTGTTCCCACGAGTTCCACCGGGACTGTGTGGACCCCTGGCTCCTCCTGCAGCAGACCTGCCCTCTCTGCAAGCGCAACATCCTGGGTGAGAGCTGCACCAGCACCTGACCGCGTCCTCCCACCGCCACAGGGAGCGTGTTTGTGCTGGGGAGAAGGGCTGGGGAGGAACCGGAGCCCCGCAGGCTCCCCTGTGCGATGGCCCTCCATCCTTCTCCCTTCCAGGGAACTGCCTCACTGAGAGTTAGCCAGCCCGACGGACGCGCTCCAGGGACAGACCCACCGCTGCTCCGGGGAGAGGGAGGGGGGCAGGGGGTGCTTGGCAAGCAGTGCTCGCTGCCGGAGTGGGTTTGGCACGGCTGTGCCCGTCGCAGTGCTCAGCCCTGCAGAGAGTGAAGGACCTCGGGGCTCTCCCTGCTGGGTGTGAGTAGAGAGGGGGGGGGGTCCAGGTGGCCAGTGCTGGGGGGCTGCGGGAGCGGGTGCTAGTGAAGGAAGCTACCGGGGCACCCATGGGTGTAATGGGGTGGGGGCACAGAGGCTGGGAGAGCCCTGGTCCGGCTGCACTCTCCCCACTCATAGTAATTTTTCTAAGTCTCTTTTTTGTTCCTGTTTGCTGGTGGCCGTGGCAGAGTGGGCAGAGCCCAGCTTGGGGCTGCGGCTTGAACCCCTCTGCGCCACGAGGGGACAGGGGTGTCAGATCTGGGTGGGGGGCTGCTGGGCGACCCGCCACCTCACCGCGGGAGGGCAGGGGGGTTGAACACTTTATTTATACTAACTTATTAGAAAGGACGACACAAGTCAGCTGCAGAGACCAGACACGGGGCTGCTTGGAGCAGACATGGGTGTACCCTCACCAGCTCCTGCTCCATGTGGCAACCGGAGGCTGCGGGGCTGCAGCATCGCACACGTACGTCTATTAAATACAGAGCAAGGACAAGCTGCCGTGTCTCATGTTGGGGCTGTTCCCCGAGGCTTGGGGGTTTGGGGCCAGCCTGTGTGGGCAGCTTGGTGCTCCCCAGCCCCTCTGGGCACTCGTGGATGTTGGCAGCACGGGGAGAGCCGCTTTCCCAGGCTGTGGCTCTGGCAGCGAGCTAAGCGTGGCTCATGCTCATCTCCAGCTCTGCCTTCCTCTTCCAAGCAGCGTGGCCCCATCCCAGCTGCCTCCTGGGAATGCTTTTGGCATGAGCTCACAGGCTGTGCCCAGGCCTTGTCTGGCTGATGGCACGGTCAGAGCTGGGCTGGGGACTCCAGCAGCAGCTTTGCACCAGGCGACCAAGCTCCAGCACCCAGGAACATCCCAGGCCGTGCTCAGCTGGCTCTGTGGGGCAGCTCTCTGGGGCAGCTCTGCTCGCCCAGGGAGCGTTTCCCCTGGGTCAGCCAGCCCCATCCTAGGCCCTGCAGTGGGACTTCTCCCAGGGCTGCTCTTCAGAGGGAGAAGAGAACGGGCCACACCAGCCCAGCCCTCGGCGCTGTCACCCTGGGTTTTACCCCAAACCACAGCGTTGTCCAGCAGAGAGGGACAGCAGGGGGAAACTGCACCAACCTGTTGGGTGCTGCAGGAAACAAAGTGCAGCCACGGCGGGAGGGTGGCTGGTAGCTGAGCCCAGGTCTCCCTCAGAGAGTGGCTTTCCCAAGGGAAGGCGCCTCAGTGCTGCCCAAAGAACAGGTCCCGAGGTCCCACAGGGCAGGGCAGCTCATTGAATGCTTCACTTCCACCTTAGTCTCAAGAACGTTTATTTGAGGTGGCCACCGGTGCGGTGAAAGGGAGGGAGACGTGCTCTGCCTCTCCTGGGTGGCTCGGGGTGGTTGAGCCCCAGCCCCGCAGCCAGGAGCGGGAGGTGGGGTCCGGCCTCGCGCAGGGGCTCTGCCGAGAGTGGTTTTAAGCGCCGGTTGCTGGGAGGTCGCTGCCGGGCCTCGCCTGTCCAGACCTGCGGCCCCACGCTGTCCCCGCTGCTGCCTCGGCTGCTCGGCTGCCTGCGGGGGTGGCAGTGGTTAGAGGGGAGGAAGAAGAGGGAAGCTCCCCAGCTCCTTCCTCTGCGTTCCTACCCTGCGCTCTGCCGGCCGGCCTCCCTGCAGCGGTGGCTGCCAAGCTGAGCCCAGAGCTGGGTCTGTGGGACAAGCTGCAAAAGAGAAAGAGGGGGTGAAACTTCCACCCTGTGTGTTCAGCTCCAGCCACACCCCTCAGCCTCTGCCCCCGGCAGCCCTCACCGCTGAGCTGGTGGCAGTGGCACGGTGACACAACGGCCACCGTGGGAGCTGGGAACCAGCCCTGGGCACCTCGGCCAAGGTGCTTTCCCTGCCAGCAACAGTTAAACTGGACTGATCTGGTGGCACAGTAGAGTCCTGGCACACCGCAAAACCACAGAGCTGGTCTAAACCTGGGGCTGAGCCAGTGGGGCTGGCCCAGGGGAAGGGCGTTGCAGCCCTGCCCGTGCCATTGGCCCCCGGGGTGCCAGTGACCCTCATGAGCGGCCCCTGGCCACAGCCTGGTGCAGGGGCCCACCTGGAGTGGGGCTGGGGCTGGCGGCTGCGAGCGCCGTGTGTGCTGCAGTGCCCCAGCATCGGCTTGGCCACTCTGGCTTGGGAAGTATCAGATGGGAGCCTTGAGGTTGAGATGGGCTCCTGAAGGCAGGATCAGGCCCTGGGACAGAGGAGGATCACAGCCTTTGTGCCCTTCTGGGAGTGGTTTTATCCAGCTCAGCCCGGTGCAGGCTGGGGAAGCAGCTGCTGAGGAGCAGGGGACATTTTGTGAGGAGCCCCACGGCCTTTTGCTCCCAGGAGCCTTCTCTGCAAGGGTACCTAACTAGGGAACTGGTCCCCAGGGGATGTGGGACAGCACCAGGGGCCACTGGGTGGGCTCGGGGTATGCAACACCCCACTGGCACGTGCCCTCCTCTCCCTGGTGGCACTCAGCTTGCCCAGGCTTGAGTGCAGCCTCACCTTCAGCACACCCTGCTCAGCAGCTGCCTTCACCTTGGCTAGCGCAGACCTGAGCCGCATGTTCTCCTGCTCCAGCATGCTGATCCGGAGGCTGTTGGCCTTTAGCTGCTTCTCCATGTCCTCGGTCAAGCTCCCGGTGCCTGCAAACAAAACACAACATCCTTGCAGCAGGAGGCAGAGCTCTGCCTGCTGCTGCCTGCCAGCTTGGAGGTGTTGGCAGCCGCCCTCCTGCCTCCCAAGCAGTGTGGCTGCCTGTTGGAAAGGAGCCTGCCCCAACCAGGCAGCACCACCACAGCCTGGGAGGTGGCAGCTGGGATGCAAAACAGTGCCAGCAGAAACTGTGAGGGAAAAAAAAAGCTCTTCCCATGCCCTGGCCTTGATTTATTTCCTGGCCTAGAGTGGGGTAAACAGCACTCACACAGGGAGGCATGTTAAGGTAGCAGCAGCTTAGCACAGCCCAGGGCCTGAGCCCTTCCTGGCTATTAGTGGGACAAAGTGTTGTGCTGGCATGTCCGGGGCTGGCACGATCCTCTGTGAGCTCTGGGAGACCCCAAAGGCACAAGCCCACTGCAGGAAAAGCAGACACTGCTGCCCACTCCCTTACTCTCAAAGTGTGTCTCAGCGGGTATGTGGAGCTCAGGGAAGAACACCAGGAGCCTCTCCCTCTCCTTCAGCTCCTGCAGCTGCTCCTCCAGCTTGGAGACGTTGGCCTGCAGCTCTGAGACAGACTGCTCCAGGCTCAGCTTCTCCTGCTGCAGCGTGTCCAGCAGCTCCTGCATGACACAGCAGAGAGGGGGTGAGGTTCACAGAGCGCAGATCTCGAGGCAGTACAGTCTGGAGGAGTCAGACTGTATGTATAAACTTAGGACTTAGGAAGTATTTATTTGCAGAAAGGGCTGTTGGGTGTTGGAATGGGCTGCCCAGGGCAGGGGAGGAGTCCCCATCCCTGGAGGGGTTGAAGAGTTGGGCTGACCCAGCGCTGAGGGATGTGGGGGAGTTGGGAACGGTCAGTGTGAGGTTAATGCTTGGACTGGAGGATCTTCAAGGGTTTTTCCACTCTAGAGGATTCTGTGAGTCCCATGGGAGTACTCGGTCCGTCACCCCCCCTTCCCTACGGAAAGCTCCCCTCCCTTTCCTTGTGTGATAAGGATGTCCCATGGCAGTGGGAAGTGGGCAGTGACAACGTGCAGGGTCTCAGCCGTAAGGTCCCTGTGTGTGGTGGGAGCAACGGCACCGACCACAGAGTGTGGTGTGTGTCCAGGAACAGGCATGCTGGAGGCACGGGAGCAGCCTGAGGAGTCGCTTCCTGCTGCTCCCCTCTGCCCTGACTGTGAGGAAAACCGGCCGGGACTGGGGCAGAGGGACCTCCCCAGGGGGAGACGGCCACGAGGCAATGGCACACCAAGTCCCCTCCTGGGAAAACTCTGGCTACAGGTGGGGGACAGGGCAGCGGGTGGCTCCTGCCACCCCCATGGCCCAGCTGTGTCCCACCCCAGCTGCCCCCGGGGAGCCCCACTCCTGGCAGCACCCCCAGCTGCGTGCTGGCTGCCAGCGCTGACCTGCTGCGCCCGCAGCTGCTGCCCGCTCTGCTCCCGGCTCTCCTCCAGCTGCTCCGCCAGCCTGGCCCTGTCTTCCTCGGCCTCTCCCAGGCTGGCCTGCAGCTCCTCGCGCTCCTGGTCCAGGCTGTCGAGCTGCTGCAGCAGGACCCTCTGCTTGGCCTGCAGGGACTGTACAGGACAGCGAGCTTTACACCGGGCAACGGCTGAGAGGGCAGAGAAGGGGCGTGGGGCAAGGAGGGCTCAGCCAAAGCTGTGCAGCCAGAGGGTGAGCTCCTCGGGGCTCAGCACCACAAGTGGGACCTCTGCACCGTCCCCTCCTGCACCCTGGCTTAAGGCCAGGCTGCAAAGAAGCCAGCCTGAGCTCAGCCCCAGAATGCCGTGGGGCTGCAGAGCGGGGCAGCAGCAGGCCCGGCCATACCTCCTGGTGCCTCAGCATGCTCTCCACTTTGGCCTTCTCCTTCTCCAGCTGGGTGGTGGTGGCACTCAGCTCCTGGCCCAGGCTCTCCTGTTGGCCAGTGAGCAGCTGCACCTTCTCCTCCAGCTCCAGCACCTGGTTCCTGGACACCATCGTGGTCCTCATCTCCTCCAGCAAGGTCGTCCTGGTGACCTCTGGGGAGAGACACAGCACCTTTGGCCCAGGTAGGGGGAGAAGCTCCCAGGTGAGATGTCTTTAGGGAGCCCTACACCCTCCACAGACCCCAACAAGGGGGTGACAGGTCTGACAGGAGGGATGCAGCCCTCTGAATCTCCACCAGTATCAGCACAAGCCCACTCTGGCGCTAGGTGATGTTGGGGCATTGCTATGGAGGAGGTTTGTCCTCTGCCTGTTCCCACCAGCGCTACACCTGACCGATTCTGGGGGAGCCGGGTGCTACGTGGGTACAGAACACTCGTGAGATCAGAGTGAGGCTGGGGGAGAGATGTCCCAGCTGGGTGAGCCCCAGGGGTCCTTACCCAGCTCCTGCACAGCAGCCTGCTTCCCAGCCAGCTCTTCCTTTAAGGCGGAGAATTGCTCTTCCAGCAGAGCAGCTCCTAAATCAGCACAAAACCCCTACTAATTAAACAGCTCCTGCAAAAAAAAACTAAAACAAGGAGGCAGCAAAGGGCCACACCAAAGCATTTTTCATCCAGTGACTGTATCGTGCCATACTTCAGCAGGGAGGAGGCAGTGAAAGGACATGGACAACCAGCTCCTGCTGTCTGGGGTTAGTCTCACAGCAGGGAAAAACCCCCAGCACCTATAAAAACCAGTGGCAAAAGCCCTGCTCATGGTGGTGGGACCAAGATTTGACCACGGACTCTGTGCTTCTCCTCCAAATACCCACAGGCCTGGGAGGGGATGCTGGGAACAGGGTTTTACCTTTCCGTAGGTCATCCTTATCCCTCTCCAGCCTAGCTACAGCCTCTAAATACTCTCTGTTCTTTACTTCCAGGTTCTGCTCAGCCTCTCTCCTCTGTTGTGCTTGGGTCTCCTTCTCTGCCTGAAGCAACCGGGTAAAGTCCTCAACCTGTTTCTGCAGCTTGTCCTTCTGTTTCTCCGACTCTTCTAGCTCAGACTTCAGAGGTTTGACCTGCTGCAGTAGCATCTGGAGGTGTTTGCCGATCCGTGAGAGGTCCTTGCTCTGCTCGGAGGCCCAGTAGCTCATGTCTATTGCAGAGAGGGTCCTTTTCTCTGTGGTCTCCTCCACCATCTCCTGGAACCTGCTGAGAGCTGAGGGGATGTTCTGGCTCTGGCAGATGCTGGTGATGGCTTTGCCGACCTCGCGGAGACTGGCCTGGGCACTGTCACAGGTGTCACAGGGCCCCTGAGGTGACCCCGTCGTCTGCGTGGGGACACAGCAGCTGCTTTCATCTCTGCTGGGCAGGGAGCTGCCCACCGCATCACCGTCTGGTGCATGGACACTCGATGACAGGCACAGAGAAGTGGACTGGGAAACTCTTGTGGAAGTTCTTAACTCCAAAACGTCAGGCAAGCAGTGTTCCAGGCAATCCTTCTCAGGTTGCCCAGCCTGGGGAGGGGATTGTGGTGTGGGGATCTCCTTCCTGCAAGCTGCCTTCTGGTGGAGAGAGCACAAAAACAGGGCCCAGGTCAACAGTCAGCTGCAAATCATAGGATCACAGGATGGTTTGAGTTGGGAGGGACCACACAGATCACCTAGTTCCAACCCCACATGGCAGGGACTCCTTCCACTAGCCCAGGTTGCCCAAAGCCCCGTCCAACCTGGCCTTGAACCCTTCCAGGGAGGGGGCAGCCACAGCTTCTCTGGGCAGCCTGTGCCAGGGCCTCACCCCCCTCACAGGGGAGAATTTCTTCCTTATATCTAATCTAAATCTCCCCTCTGTCAGTTTAAAACTGTTATCCCTCATCCTATCCCTACAACCCTTGACCAAGAGTCCCTTCCCCCTTTCCTGTAGCCCCCTTTCAGTACTGGGAGGCTGCTCTAAGGTCTCCCTGGAGCCTTCTCCAGACTGAACATGCCCAACTCTCTCAGCCTGTCCTCACAGGGGAGGTGCTCCATAAGAGCCAGATACAGAGGTGTGAAGCATGGGGACAAGGCATCAGCACAGGCAAGGTGCAATGAGGGCAGTGAACCCTCCTCTTGGGAGGACAGAAGTTCCCAGAGCTTGGAGGTGGACAAGCGCTTGAGTTCCCTGTTTACTATGCTCCATTACAACCGAAACACATGGCTAACAAGAAAAATGAATTTGCTTCCCACTTCCTGATGCGGGGTACAAGGGAATTGAATTTTTACAAGCTGCCAGGCAGTCACCACTGTTTTAGTGGAGCTGTGGTTTCACAACAGGAAGCCTCAGCAGTTAAACCTGCTCTGTCCTTTCCTTCACACCTCCTGCACTATCTCCTGGTTGAGCTAGATGAATTATTGTGAGACTTTTCCATGAGAAGGATCATTCTGGGGAAGAAAAAAAAAAAAAAAAAAGCAGGAGAGGGGCATAGTTTGTTTACCACAAATTATTTCACTTTTATCACAAATTATTTACTGATTTGAGCCAGCTCAGCTCCATAAATAGTGGGGTTGGCAGAGCTGCACAGGCAGCATGCTGGCAGGAGAATATTATTCCAAGCAATAAAGGCAACCAGACTTAACCATCCTGAGATCCTGGTGGAGGCCTGGGGGAGGATGGATCCAGTAGCACAGCTGGGAGCGGTGGTCAGAAGAGGGAAGGGACTCAGGCAGAGAGGAGACAGTGTGGGACAGATGTGGCCTGTCTGACACATGGGTCAGCACTTGGAGGGTCATGAGCCAGGAACTCATCTGGCGTGGACACTGTGCATATCACAGGGTGTCCCCAGGAAGGACCGTGATCTCAGCATGGTCCAAATGCCAGGGGGTGAGGCAAGGGCCATTTCCGTGACCCCTGCACTCAGCTCATGGGGTGTCAGGGCCCACAAATGTCCTACCTCAGCCAGGAGCTGCTGGTAGAAGGCCCCCAGTTTCAGCATGCTGAACCAGTACTTCCTCACTGTCAGCCCCATGGACATGCAGGGTCCCACTGTCTGCGCTGGGGGGATGGCTCGTGCACTGAGCAGGTTTTCTGTGTAGCCCGTGAAGCTCTGAAGCAGCAGGAGCAGCCTTTTTCAACAGAAATGAGCAACAGAGTATTTGTAATGGGGAATGGGCCCATGGTGATTAACAGTGGTGAGCCTGAAGGGCCAGTGCCAAGGCAAGGGAGGTTGTCCCCACTCCCCACCCCCTGGACAAAGTGAGTTTGGCAAAGGAAGGTATCAGTGCCTCGTGACCCCCCCCCCAGGTCTGAATCATTCCATGGAACAGTATTTGGTGGGATGAGAATCCTTCTGCAGCTGACAGGATGCAGGCTGTGCATGCTGCTGGCAGTCAACCTCTTCCAAAGCCTGCAGTTAAGCTCTCACGAAAGATTTGGAACACCCACACTGCCAATATCAAACTCTAATTGTTAGGGCCAACAGCTCTGTGGGAATGGCTCATCTTTTAAAACAGAGTCATATTTATTGCACTCAGATTGCAAAAGGTGCTTTTGCCTCCCAGGCCGGTAGGTTCAGCTGTGTCTGAGTGTTTCCAAGGTTTCAGGGGGGCAATTTAACCAGTGTGCCCCCATCTGCCCATGTGCCCTCAACTCCCAGGTAGAGCAGCAGCTTGCTCTGCTCCTTTGCAGCCAGCATTTGTGCAGGTAGCTCTGAGCAAGGAAAGTAGTTGGGTTTTAAAACTCAGCATAGAGCTGTAGAGCATGAGGATGAGGTGCCAGCACACTGCTCATCATGGAAACGTGGGGAAAAAAGCATCCAAAACACTTGGTCGTGTTTGACAGGCTGGAAACACAACCATCCCCTTCCCTCTGGAGGAAGGCGCCACTCTATCGGGCAAGCTTCTTTTAAGAGGGGTGGTTGGGGCTGGCTTTGCCTTCTCACCTGTCTATCACCAGCTCCAGCAGCACCACATGGGAGTGCTGGGTGAATTCGGGGTCGTTCTCAGTGTAGCAGTACCGCTCCAGCAGTGCCGCCAGGTCCAGGTCACAGGACACTTTATCGGGGAACTTCCAGGAGGGGAAACGCACGGCCCCGGCCCGGGAGGAGACGTCGGCGATGGCTGCCTGCAGGTCCCTCAGGTCGGCCCGCAGGCTGTCCATGCAGCCGGCGTGGCCCAGCAGGTGCGCCATGTTGCTGAGGCCTCTGGGCAACAGAGGAGCCACCGGGCCGCGCCAGGATTTTGTCCAGAGATGCGGCAGCGGAGACGGACGCGCCCGCGCAGCCGCCTGCTGCTATGGCAACAGCGCAGGCCACGCCCCCAGTGACCACGCCCCCAGCGCAATGGTACGCTCCTCCTGTCCCTCCCCCTCCTGCGGGGACCCCCCCCTTGCCGTGACCTAATGGTACGTCCCGAGGCGCATGCGCACTGCCCCACCGCCTCCCGCGGCTGGGCGCTAGCCCGCGGTCTGCGCATGCGCCTGCTCGTGGCCGCACCGTCACTTCCGGCGCGCATGCGCAGCGCGGTGCCTGAGGCAGCCATTTTGTCCGTCGCAGCATCGGTTTCCTTCGGTTCTCTCTTGTTTCGGCCTAGGAGCGGCTCCGGTGGGGAAGCGCTCCCCGCCGCCCCGAGGGAGCATCATGCCGGCCGGACCCGTGCAGGCCATGCCTCCGGCGCAGCCAGCGCCCCCTGCGGAGAGCAAACCGGTGCGGGCCGCGCGGGCGGGGGGAGGCCGTGCTGAGGCGGGGCTGGAGCGCGGGGAAGCGGGGGTCGCTACGGTTATTTTGCTGTCTGGCATCTTATGCTGATCCACTTGTGTTGGGTTGTTTTTGGCGGGTGGGCAGTTCCGGCCTGCTGTTTGCTGCTGATTCCTGTGGGCATGGCCCGCAGCTCCCCGTTCATCTGCCCTCAGCCTGCTGGGGGGGCGGGCGCTACGCACGGTATAAGGCCGAGTCCTCTCCTGGAAGCGGCCCAGGGTTGTGAGGGTTTGCTGTAAGGTATAGGAACAGCCCTGCGAACGGGAAAAACGCCTGGAAAAGATTAAATACACCCGTCCCAGTGTGCTTGAGCAAGCGTAGCAGACCCATGTTTCACAATACCTTCCCTGGTTCTCTCCTGTCTCAGCCACATTCACCTCCGAGAAGCCTCTTCCCGGCATGGAGATTCAGCTGCGGTGTAGCTGGAGCTGCTGTCCTGGCTGCATGCCCCAGTAGTTTCACACACCAGCATCGGCACTTGTGCAGGCATACAGCAATCCAGTGTAGGGGGCTGGACTGATGGAAAATCTTGGGTGATTGGTCCAGCTAATGCAATCAGGAGGACCAGTTTGTGTGGTTCCCCCCCAAAAAACCCAGTGACTTGCATACGTATAAATTAGCAAGGCAACTGAGTGTCACAGTTAAATAAAAACATCTCTCAATCATGGTGTTGCCTTATCCTTTAGCTCCTTGATATGATTTGTTTGGAGGGAGTGGAAATGAAAATAAAAATATTTATGACATGTTTCTCTTAACACACTTAAGGTTGTATTTGACTCAGTTATTAATTAAAAATAATTTTAAAATAATGTATTAAGGTTGTATTTAACTCGAGCATTTTCTGCCTTGGGCTCTCATTGGATTTTGCAGAGCTAGTAGTTTTACTGGTATTTTAAAATTTCCCTGACTATCCCTGTTAATATTATAATTTCCCAGAGACCTGTTCTCTTTTATAACAGCTTTTCCTGTGAAAGTTGCTTGGTGAGGAAAGAAGAGTGACATCCTTAGTATCCTGCAGAGAGCAGCTTCTGGTCTTGCCAGAAGACAAAGCTGTCCACAGGGAGGGTTCTGGGATTTTAGTTTGGATCCTTCTGTAATATCAGTGAAAAAAATGCCCTGCAGAGATTTTCTCTATGAAACAGCTTTTGATACAATCACAATACGATTAAAAGCTATGTTTTGTTTAATTTTATTTAATATGGATTCTAGTTTCTTGTAGTCCCACAGGCCTCTAGGAATGTTCATAACTTTCAGACCTGTTTAGCGATGCTGAGTTATTCCTAGATGTGGTATTGCAGACATACCCTGTGCTGCCTCTTGGTTTGGTATTTATAAACCTACTCGGGGTCAAGGCTGAGATAGTAAAAATGCCAGGAAGGCTTGTTTTGGCTCCTGTGGAGGGTTCTTCCTTGTCTTGCTGTGCCTGGCCCTGCAGTGGGTGCCCTTGACAAGAAGACAAACATTATCTCCCACCCTAAGAAGCTGAGGAATTTGTGGGACAGGTGATGCAGATTGTTAAATCAGGGCTTTGTGTCAGGAAAAATTCAGTAATTGGGCTTAGGAGAGCAGACTGTCCTGTGTACCATTTGGAATACTTAATTCTTATGTAGTATTCATTAAGAACAGGATTGCAGAACAATTTTTTAAAGGTGTGTTAGAATTGTTACTCTCAATGTAGACAAGGAGATTAAGAGAGGAGAAAGATGAATTTTCCAACTCAACCACCTGAAAACAAGCCTATTCTGGGTTTGCAGCCTACTGGGCCATTTTTCACTTCTGCTGCTGATATATAGTACATTACTCAATATTATTTGAAGTTCATTCTCCTGTTTTCAGCTTTGATTTAGGGTATTTGAATTTGTTATCTTGACTGATTGTAAATAGCACAATGGTAGATGTCTTCTTGTGCTGCCACCTCTTCACCTTTTGAATAGTTGCTGTGCGTTGGCAGTACAGAGGACTGTATATATCTGTATATATACATTTTTGTTACAGCCAGAAGAGGAGCCAAAAGAGGAAGCAGCACCAGCCAAGCCTGTAGTAGGAATTATTTACCCTCCTCCAGAGGTCAGGAATATTGTAGACAAGACTGCCAGCTTCGTAGCCAGGTAAATGCCACTGGCCTGGTCTTGTGTTTCCTGGGATTTTCATGCTTAATCTCTTCAGTGCTAATGTCTGTGCAGCTCCAGAAACTGAAACAGGTCACAATCCTGTGACTTTATGTGAAGGATTTTAAGGTTTGAGTCTATGCTGGTGGGACTGTGGAAAAGAAAACGACAATATTGTGCTTAAGAGGTGTAAGACACACATTGCTAGAAAAAACGTGGTAGTAAATAAAATGAAGCTAATGACAAAATCTATAGCATGTGCTGCAATAACAAGGTAGCAGTTCCTGTTCTGAATATTCTGAAGGGGAAGCAAAATTCCAAGTATAAAGGGAACCTCGTTACAGGTGCTCCACTGAGCGATGAAGCCAAGAGCAGTTATGGGTGTGTTTCACAATGTGTAGGCACATGTTAGGTGATGAACTTGCCAGGATGAGGATGCTCACTTGCTTGTTGAGCCTGAGGTTAAGTCCTATCCCTGGTTGTGTACAGCAGCTGGGATGTGTTTGTCCAAGCTTTGGACATCTCCCTCTCTCCCCTGAAAGCCAGAGGGAGAGAAGTGCACACCTCCAGAGAGCAGTCCAATCCTCTCTTAGGATAGATGAGCTGCCCATCATGTGTGGGGTTATTTTTCCACTGTTGACTGTAGCAGATGGATTAGCATGAGATGTCAAACTTAGGGGAGGAGTCTAAAAGTTGAATAAATTTTACTCATTTGGGCTTCTTCCATTTGCCCGATGTCATTGTTCTGCAAGTACAAGCTGTTAGTGCTGTGTGGGCCATCTTCCTCTCTTTTTTAATGCTTAAGTATTTCTGGCTGTGTTAGCACTATGTGAGGCTTTAGAGGACTGGATCTTGGTCTTCCTGGCAGTGGTCAAGTGGCATAGGAGGTAAATGCTGCTCAGCTGGCTGTGTGAATTCTTAACCTTCATGGCATCCAGACTGGCTGAACGCTGCGTGCTCTCACCTCACAGAAATGGAGTGGTTATTGCTGTGGGTTTAAGGCAATTAAATGCTGGTCTACTCAAAGACACTTAATTATATAACTAATCCCTAAAATGCTACCAAGGAGCACTGGCTTCTTTTGAGGGTAAGGAAGGGGCTGTGTTTATCCTTTGGTATTGCAAAGACCTCCTCTTGCGAAGGAGTATCTGAAGAAGACTCGGAGGTAACCAGAGAGTATGAAGAGAAGCATGCAATGGCAGCTGTTAACATCCTCAAACTACCCTGAAATAAACAGCTTGCACTTTGGATGGAGGAATGGACGTTACCTGAACTAAAACTTAGGGTTCTCCTCATTTCAACGCTCTGGTGTGGTCAGTCTCCGCCCAGGCTTATAGTTACCTCTGGTTTTTAACTTATATGAACTTTCTGGAAATGAAACTAGTCCTAAAAGCTTGTTAATAGACCAGATAACATTGGTCTAGTGAGTAACTTGTAAGCTTCATCCAGTAAACTGTCAATACAGTAAATGGCCTTTTGTTTGTGTCTAGCCAAATGAGGTTGTGGAACACTTGTGAGTGTGAGATTTTAGCTGTCTTAAGAAATATTCACTGTGAAGCATTGCAGGCATTTGCCCTAATACAGTGTATAAGTTGTGCATGTACAGCTGGCTGCTACAGTGGGTGTGTGTTACTTAGAGGTAACTTCCTTCCGTGTAGGAGAGAAAATTGTCTTCTGAGGGGCTGATGCATCAACACATCTTACCATGAAAGAAACAGACATTTGCGCTTGAGTTGATGCCCATTCACCTAAACAATTTATCTTTTTTCTCCGCAGAAATGGTCCAGAATTTGAAGCTCGAATTCGTCAGAATGAAATAAATAACCCTAAGTTCAATTTCTTGAATCCCAATGATCCTTACCATGCATACTACCGGCACAAAGTCAGCGAGTTCAAAGAGGGTAAAGCACAGGAGCCCTCGGCTGCTATTCCCAAGGTCATGCAACAGCAGCAAAGTGCTCAGCAGCAGCTTCCACAGAAGGTAAGTATTCCTTTTCACTTTGTCTGAGAACTTGGCTTCTAACCGGTTGCATTGCATCCTGATGTTAAGCAGGATGTCTGAAAGACAAGGCAAATGAAGGAGCTCTACAATTGCAAAAAAGGCAGCACTGAGAGGCTTAGAATTCAGTGTCTGGGGCTTCATTTTGATGCAGATCTGCATCCCCCATGTGCTAGTAACTCAAAGTCATGTGTGAAAGAGCCAATATATTTGTTCTGCTTGGTCCATTTTAATTACGTTTAGTTGCATATTGACTGATATGGCAGTTACACTAGTGATCGCTCAGACTGTATGAGTTTAGGACTCCTGCCATAGGCAGGCTTTTAGAACCCCTTGGAGTTCAGTTTGGGCATATTGCATGCGCTGTTTTGTAGAAACATTTCCTTTTTTTTCTGCCGGAAGGATCAACTTCCTCTTAAAATGTGGAGTACAAAATGTTACT